GTGAAAAGTCTTCCATTTGCAGCTTTCGATTGTCGGCACGAAAGCTATTTGATTGTAGCTTTCGTTGTAGGAACTTGACGGGAATCAACATCCATAGTGTTTTTAGATGGATATTTGCCCACAGCTCTCACCTTTTATTTCTGAAATCATTACACTGCTCATCAGCATCTCTAATAGTTGCTAATATAATATTAGTCATGTTGTTGTCGCAACCATCAAGATCAATCATCTCAGAAATGAGGCCGTGTTTGTAGCGATTGTAGAATTGCGAATACAGTGGTTAGAAAGTCGTCTGATTGTGACTTCCATTGTCGGAGCTTGATAGGGATCAGCTATCCATTGTGATTTTTAGACAGCCTACAAGTGTATACTTATATATACTTATATAAGAGAGAGTATACTTATATATACTTATATACTAAGAGAGAGTATATATATACTCACATATGACATATTATACATATATAGAAATATATTATATATACATATATTATATATATACATATATTAGGGCTAGCCTGCTTTTTGGACACCCCTACCTGTACCCGAAATAAGTTGTCTTGCCTTCCCATAATTTTATTTAGATGATGACTAATATGTAGTATGGATCAATACTCTTTTTTTTTTCTTCACTCCTATAGATTTCATAGGATATCAAAATTAATATACCTCGCTGTCCTTGTGTGCTTAATAGAATAGGATATTATATAGTTTAGTTTGGTTAGGAGTTGCATTTGTCTTCTCTGTTAAACGAAAAGAAGAAACTAGGTTAGTAAATTATTAGATAATATGATTCTAGACTTATTAAGAGTTATGTATATTAATTAATTAGTAGGATATTTCTACTGATGCCTGATTGTATTTATCCTATAGGGGTTCCTACAAGCTCCCGAAAAACAATGTGAGAGTTGAATTTTTGGTTTGTCTTTCGAATTAAGGTGAGTGGTGAATTTGTACAATATTCACTACGTATTTTTTATATAAAATTACATTGACTATATGTAAGTTTGTTCTGATAGATTATACCCTTTTGTATGGTTGCTCAATACTAATTTTTGATTGGATGGATGCACGTGTTTATTTGGTATAAGCCTATGCTTATTTTCTTTGTCAATTTTTATGTCTTTCATATAGTAGTAAGCTGAGATGCATATGTGATTGATTGATTTCACTATTGGTTAGCCTTTGACATTTTTGTATAACGTATTTAGTTTTTACAAACTTTGTTTAATTTTCTTAAAGCATATGCATCTTAGGTAAATATATCGGTATATGTCAGATATAAGTAAGTTATTAAAACAAGGCTCAATTTGCATCAAGTACTAGAGTTCATTGATGATTCTCTATCATTCTTATATTTTACTTATCATTTGCCAAAATATTTAAATTTTTGTAAAACCAGTGTTCAATTTATGAATTTATCCACTTATTGAGTTGTGAACTCATTGTGTTGCTCTTTTCTTTTCAGAGACTCGGGATTAGCTAGGTAGAATTGATGTTTTTTTTTAAAATTCTTAGAATAAGCAAGGAATAAAATTCGAGATTATTATTGTATTCTACGTGAAGGTTAAATAAAGTATTTGATGTTTAGTTAATAATTTGAGAGTTTTGTAATAATGAGATTATTTCCTTTAGGTCGAGTTTTATTTCAAATTGAGGAATATTTACTTATATCAAGTTAATTGGATTAATGTCGACTTTTGAGATTATAGAGAACATTTATTGTTGGTTTTAGTTCAATGAAGAGATTATTTTGATGGTCTTTTAATGAATGTATAATTTTTTAGAGGACTTTTCACAGGTGTAGACTGGCTCCAATATTCCTTTTAGATTCAGAAATTAGGGTCGTGACACTATAGACCAATTCTAATCATATTTATAAGGATTTCAAGAGGTCAAGAGGGGCTTTGCCAAGAACGCCGTGAAAACTAGTTTGCATCGTAGTTTGCATCACATGAAACTTTGAAAAATATCTGATTAGATATAAAATCAGTACTTTATGAATTATTGTTTGTGCTCGGCTCATCTAATTAGATGCATGTCTGTGTTGTATCACATTCTAGTTACTATCTTCTCCCTTAGCATGCATGCTTAGTCTTGTGCTTTATGAAGTGCCTGAGATACACAAGAATGGAGATGAAAGTAGATGACATTTTCTGCAAAGGGAGAATCTTATGCCACTACAAATAAATCCCATCACCATCATCCTTTGGTTGAGTCCTTTGAAATAAATTTTGCGGGAATGTAACCTTTGGATAAAGCTCACTGAAAGGGGGCAAATGTTAATGATGGTAACTGAGAGCTTTAGCAAAGAAGGGAAGACAGGTAATTATAAGTTAAATGGTCAAAAGGACTTTGAGAAGATATTTTAAATGTACTTGCTAAGCCAAATAGAGACTTATCAGACTCTGATAAAGTTCATTACATGGGCTTAGCACAATTGGGTTAAAAACTTTTAGTTTTCGATTTCCCCACAAAATCTTGTCTTTTTCAAATTCTCCCTAAATTCTTATATAGGGTTACCAAGGAGTTTAGAACACTAGAACTTGCTAGAATATAAATTAGGTTTTTGGTAGGGAACTACCCCTAACTTAGATCTTATTTCACGTTATCATCTTTAATTATCGAAATTCTAAAAAACCACTGATATCCACCATTTTGTTAACATATAACAAGCCATGATCTTTTTCATCCAATTTTCTATCCAAACTTTTATAGTTTAACCGTTTTACTCCTACATAAAATTAATTTTGCTGGACCTTATCAAAGTTAAATTTTGTTGTAATTTAGTGCTCATTACAATTTCAGAATTTTGATAGTGATAGAGATTTTTGATATGATATCAAGAAAATTTGAGGCCCAAATAAATTGAAGTCCAATATGAAGCAAGCACGATGGTGTTAGAAATATAATTAAGATCAAGTTTAGATCCGACGATAGTTGGCATGTGATGGCGCGTGGGCATGCATGATTGTCAATAAGAGTTGGGGCAACTACTTAATATCTTAAGCTTTTGAATTAAAATTGATTTCTTGTTTATAAAGACTCACTAATTATCAGTTGGACCTCATTTCGCCCCTAACAATTACAAGCAATATATGTAATTTGGTTCTTTTAGTATTCTGGTGCAAATAGAATTTGAATCTATCTAGACCTTTCATTTTCAAATATAGTGAAGAACTGTTGAAAACAGTGTGTCCGTTGATTGAAATTACAAGTCAGTTGACCGAATACAGGAAAAATCAGCACACAAGAAATCGGTCTGGTCAGTCGACTGATTAAAACAATCAGTCGACTGATTGCATGCATACTAAATGACTTGAAAACAACACACTAGATAGTCGACTGATGAGCCTTCATTAGTCGACCGATGGACATCCACCAGTCGACTGATGAGGACTCATTAGTCGACTGATAGCGGATATAGGTCTACGACTGATTCCTAGCCTGTTTTGGATTTGAGTTTGATATAAATAGAAACACGTTTTTTAGGGCTTAGAGAGAGATTTAATAGAGAAAGGAGGTTGTTTTGAGCACTTTGAGAGAGAGATTATTGTGAGGGAGTGAGATCTTTTAGTTAGGGTTATTTTTTGAATGTTTGAGAGAGTTGTAACTCATTATTTTCTCCTTCATATAGTGAAATCTCCTCATCCTCTCCCTGTGGACGTAGGCAATTTGCCGAACCATGTAAATTCTCTGTGTTTGTGATTGGTTTTGGTGGTTCTCATTGTGAATTGTGCTCGTGGTGTTCTTTTCGTGTTGCTTACCTTGTGGAGTGAGTCCGCTTCCATTGGATGTGGAGTGAGTCCGTTTCCACTGGACGCAACAAGAACCACTTCTCTGGTCACAGAATTTTATCAATGTTTAGACATATATTACGATTCAAGCAAAACACTTAACATATTCTTCATAATTTTTCATTTATGCTCACTCTTTTAATTTAAGAACATGCCTACAAAATAAATATACAGTTGTGATTGCAAAAGTTAATTTTTCTACTGGATTTTGGCAGCAGAGAGAATCTAATTCAAATTTGAATGTAGATTCCAAACCTAGCACTTCACCATTGTGTTACAATAATACAACAGAAAATTTAGAGCTCAGACTCCAAACCTAGCACATTAGAAAAGGACTTCACCATTGAATGTCCTTATTCATCAATGGTTTGATGTGCTGTCATAGAGTGGTTAAACTTTCAGTTTAGAACTTGCTCCTGGACTCATGCTTTGAACTGGTAAGTTTAGAACTTGCTCCTGGACTCATGCTTTGAACTGGTACTCCATTCAATTGCGTGAGAATTTATTCACCATGTGAGTGAAGAAGATTGCACTAGCTGCTGCTGTCTATTTCGTATGGCTTGCAGAGGAGCAAAAGACTATTTACTGGTAAAAGTAAAGCTCGACGTTGCATTGCCCGGCAGATAAAAACTCATATGCTAGCTGTGCTGTATCACGTTCCAATTCCTACTCAGTTTCGTGCTTGGGTGAAACTTGGGTTAGTTTTGATTTGATTGCTATAGTAAGATGTGAGTTATATTAAAGGGAGATGATCATTCTATGTGTTTTGAGTTTGTAGTAAACTCGGTATGCCCGAGTAACTGTTTGTGCTTATAAAGTTCAAACGGTAAATGAAATTATTGTTCATTAACTTAAAAAAATAACAGTACCTAATATATTTACGTACTTCATCAAGATTGTTATAGTTCCCTGAAACTACAGTAAAACTCCTAATTAAGTTCTAGTGAAAACTTGTATTCATACAGCAATATCACCTTAATTTTAAATCCGATATAATTTCGTCACTGATAAAATTTAAAGATATATTGTTCTGTTACTGTGTCAAATTCCTACCAATAGACTCTCAAATTGTAGTGAAAATTGAGGGTTATAATTTCATATTCTAACTAATACAAATGTGAAATTAGAGAACAATTGATGCTTGATATTTCTCTTTAGATAAATCTGGCATACGTGATTACTAATTAGTTTACTGCACCCTGCTTCACTAAAATATCAACTTCGCTATAGTTTGTAATAGCAAGCCCTAGCTCTTCTTACACAAAACAACACCGTTACAAATACAAGTTAAATTAGAAAAAACACACTAAAGCTACTATTATCAATCTGGAAAACTGAACCGACTACAAACTACAAATAGTTAGAAAACGAAATGAAACATGAGCTCTAAGCATCACTCCAAGCAGCAAACAAGGGCATAAGGCCAAATAAGTGACTAGACCCAGCATGGATAAACTTGGGCTCAATCCGATCTGGGCTCCCCTCTCTCGAGCTTTTAAGGCTAGTCATCAATGAACTCGGGTCTGAAACATTGAACGCTACAGAGACCGATTCAACTGTTGGCGGTGTCTGGCTCAGTGATCCTTGGAGTAACATGTTCCAGTCTGAGCTAGCATTGTGGCTGTTGTCTTCGAAGATAATGTCAGGTTTTCTAGGTTTGGACCGATGAGCTTGTTCGCCAGAAAGCAGAGCGCTGCTCGCTGTGATCTTATTTACGTCATATCTTGTTATGTCGAAGTTGGTGACTGCACTTGTCCCTCGGAATTTTATGGCGGCGATGTCGTAGGCCTCTGCTGCCTCCTCTTGAGTACCTGTTGGCAACAATGTCGTGAATAAAAAGTTCGCTCAGGAGATCCATCAACAACAATATAACTAGAGGGATCTATCAGCAAACAGACACGTCGTAGGCCTCTGCTGCCTCCTCTTGAGTACCTGTTGGCAACAATGTCGTGAATAAAAAGTTCGCTCAGGAGATCCATCAACAACAATATAACTAGAGGGATCTATCAGCAAACAGAACAGACTATCCACAAATACACTTTTTATCAAAATTTAGAAGTTGTAACAAGGATGGACGGTCATAGTTTTATATACTATCACAAAATTTAAGCCGTTTATGAAAACTAATCTAGTTTGAAGTGTGAAAAGTAGAAGAGTCAGATTAATTTTTAAGTAGTAATCTTCATGATCAAAAACATTTGTTGTGATTCAAAGAGCTGAACTAGTCAATTAAAGAACTCAATTACAATTAAATATGCAGCTTTATTGAAAGAAAAGACTGAGTAGAACTTGAAAGGAAAAGGGTCTTATTTAAAAAAAAAGCATGTCGTAAAAGAAATTTTGAATTTTGAATTAGTGATATTAGTGATCAGATGCTCTCATGATTCACGAATGAATGAAGACAAATTGTTGAGAAAATTACTGAAGGTTCCAAGATAAAGATCTTTGTTTCCGGCAACTCTCCCTATTCTAGCTTGCCATCTCCCATGCTGATGATGCCTGAAATGCAAGTAAAATTTTACATAAATCTATCAACATTTCACCAATTTTTTTGCCACTATCTACAACAAAGAATGCAAACCTTGTTACTCCTCTATACATTGAAGCTCCTCTAGAGAACCCACTGCTCTTTCTATCATAATAACAAAAAACTCAATTGGTACAAAAAAAAAAAAACTATATTATATTAAACAGAGTACAGAATATACAAAGTTATTAGATTACCTTCGCAGATGAGCAACATATTCTTGCCTGCTCATACTCTTCATCTCTTCGAGTTCTTGACTGTAATTCTCAAGCTACCATGTAAAAGCTTATATTTAGTCCAAGGATTAAAATAAACACGACATATCAGATATTCTTAAATCAGATCATACTCGGAAATTTATATGAGTTGAAGGCCCCCAATACTTTAGTGCAGCCAAATCATAAGCTCTTGCTGCTTTTTCTTCCCTGTCATAACCCCCTATATCAAGAAAAACAATATTGTTACTATTGTTGATTTCTATAAGGGGTAAAAACATAGATTTGTGTTTGAAGAAAATGAGAACATACCAAGATAAACTGAACCGTTTGATTTGAATTGATCAAAAGAAACCAATCACAAAACAATAATTCAGTCAACTATACTAAAAAAATTAAGTTAAAAAATGAAAATTTGAGATTTAATGTGTGATTATAGCTTCTTTTCTCAGACCTTGCCTCCCTTTTCTAGTTTGTCCTTCTCTCTTGCAACTATTATCCCAAAGATGCGCTTCATATCTGCCAGTCCACCTATGCCTGAAAACGCGAAACCAATATCATAGACGTTTCATACAAAGATAAAAAAAACACCTAAATGATTATCCAAAAATAAATCAAGAACTAACCTGGTAACACCTCTATACTGAGAAGTTCTCTGTCCAAAAGTCTCAATAGATTTCCTATGGACGGTTTTCTTCTGTCCACCTTTCCCACATCCTCTCTTCTTTGCTATCACATCTAAAGCTGCAGTACTCTGCTGAGCATTGACATAGCTTGATTCGGATACTGGGCTCATTGAAAGGCCCATTCCCTCAACTGAGGCCCAGTTCTTGATTGAGAAACAAAACCCATTGTCATCTTCTTCTCCCTCCATTGGCTGATTTTGGTTTTCCTGCTGCTGCTGATGATGTTGCATCTCATTAAAATGCTGGAAATATGGCTGATTTTGGTTGTAGTAATACATTGTGTCTGCAATAGTTGTAGTTGCAGTTGTTTCTGTCTCATTAGCCCCATACTGAAGACGGGCCCCCAAGAAGTCTTCTAGTTTTGGTGATGCAGATTGCACCATACCTTAGACAAATTTAAACATTATGGAAAATGGAAGAAATATAAAAAATGCAAAAGATTGAATCTTTTTTTTCAAATCAGGGTGACAGACCTTGGTTTTGTGATCTGTTGAGGGCTTCCATGATGCAGAGAGAACCATCAGATTTTATGGGCATGAATGATAACTGAGAGTAGAGCTCTGCAGCATCACTCTCTGCTCCATAGCTGAAGATGCTGCTGCAGTCTTGGACAGACGAAGAACAAGGAGACTGCATGTTGATATTAGGAGAGAGAGAATCCCAGCCAATTGTTGTTGTTGTTGATAATAGATTTCATAGCTAACCCTTTAAAGTTCAAACTATGAACAAAGAGAATGAGCTCCACCAATTAAATACTAAGTCACTACCATTGCATTTTCGTAGGGATCTGTGCTCTGAGAAAGGCCGAGGCTTTAGCTAGCTTTTCATTGCCGCTCCTTTTTCTTAAATCCTCTCTTGCTTACTAATACACTTAGCTAGCTAAGAATTAAGAAAAGGCCGGAGCTTTATACATAACGAGAAGGTGAGAGTGAGAGAGAGAGCAAGAGGATGGTAATGAAATTTGAGGAGAAGGCTCTTCGTTCATAGGCTGCTGGTCTCTTTTCTTTTCATAAGTCTTTCATGGCCATGAAAATTGATATGAAAATAGATAGAGGTTGACAGAGAGGACAACTGTTACATTAGTCATTTCATATTACAGTACTAGCTCTGTACTAGCATTCGCAGTTCAAACCCAATGAGGGTCTTCAATTAAATTCTATATTGTATCTATTGTGCATTCATATGTATCCAACTTGTTTAATTAAAACAAGTATAAGATAAGCTCATGTATGTCTTAATGTATCAACAGTGATATATGATTATTGTTATTTACTGATATCATATTCTAACAACACTGATTTAAAATTGAAAGTCACACAAGTATCATGTTCACTTTTTGCCGTATGATTTTGTATAGAAAGTCATTTATTAAGGAAAAAATTACGGTTTATATCTAAGCTCACAATGGGAAGAG